CATTCATGGGAACTGACTGAGGAATTCCTGTTTGAAAGGCTGCACTAATCCTTAATTTGCCTGGGGGAATATCAACGGGATGAAGCTGGAGCTATGGGATTCGGAAGGGGCTGTAATTCTGTGCTTTACAAAGTCTGGTCAGTACGAGGAGTGGAGTGATGATGCTCCAACTTAAGTGCTGTGCGTTTTCATTTGCACAGATTAGTTACACAAACCAAAGACATCTGTAACGACGGTAATTTCCCAAACAGCCACGGCCTGCCCGAGGCATAAATCTCTGTTGTGTTCCTCATGATGTCCAAAGGTTACTGCAGAAGAAACTCAAGTCTTGTTTCCTTTAAATTTCATGTTATATCAATTATAATATATTAATAGTAATAATAATTTTAATGTATTAGGAATGGGTGACATTCTTCAGATATTTTAAGCTGAATTATAATGGCCAATTTAAAACATCTATGCAATGGTCACAATAGTTTTTTTTAAAACATCAGCACTTGGTTGTGTAATAAAAATACAAAAATAAACTCAGTCCCAGCATCAGATTCTGTCAATGTAGTTTATTTTGAAAGGATTATAAAGTAGAAACTACAATCATGGGTGAGCTCAGACTAAAGGCCTCGACATACTCTATCCAAACCTGAACAGTCGATGAGTCACATGGTTGCTCAGCATTTGTTTTTGCACACACCTTTCATGGCTCTTGAGACGCACTTTGCTGAGCTCCTGGGAGAAACCTCCCAATGCACGGAGACAAAGGTTCTTCCCGCTGAAGTCTACACTTTGGGGAACCTCCCTTCAAATATGTCGTTATTTGTCCACAAATCTGTCCAGATTAAATCTCCACACTTTTCTGCAGGAACTATTACTCCTTGCACGACATCTCTTATCTCCAATCATGAGTTGCAAACTGAATGACGCAATTTTCATCATTAAACAACGACACTGAGAGCCAACTTCAGATGGACCATGCAGAGGTCTTTACAGTCGGACCGCATGCTGTCTCCTCAATACTGATCCACTGGAGCCATGAAAATAGAGGAATACAAAATATTCCTGGCTATTAAGATTAGCAGAAGCACATTCCTGTACCTGAAATTTATATTTCATGAAAAGATTTTTCAGCTGTAGACTTTATTTCACTTGAACTCACCACAAGCTCCCTTACGACAGTCTTTTTTTTTAAACAAGAAAGAGGCAATTGTCCTAAATAGTAAAGCTGCAGCTGAGATTATCACTCATTAAAACAGTTTGTTGTTGTATTAATTAGTCCTGCAT